CAAAATACAACACCCTTTCATGATGAAAACCCTAAGCAAATTGGGGTTAGAAGGAACATTCCTCAACACAATTAAGGCAGTCTGTGATAAACCAATGGCCAGCATCATATTGAATGGGGAAAAGTTGGAGGCATTTCCATTGAAAACTGGCACCAGACAGGGATGCCCACTCTCACCATTGCTATTCAATATAGTCCTAGAAGTGTTAGCCAGGGACATCAGGCAAGAAAAAGAAATTTAAGGTATACAAATGGGAAAGGAGGAAGTTAAACTGTCCCTATGTGCAGATGACATGATACTATATATAGGGGACCTGATAAACTCCTGTAAGAGACTATTGGAACTCATAGAAGAGTTTGGTAAAGTAGCAAGATACAAAGTCAACGCTCAGAAATCAACAGCCTTTGTATACACAGATAATGCCAGGGCCGAGGAAGAACTTCTGAGATCAATTCCATTCACGAAAGCCACAAAAACAGTAAAGTACCTTGGAATAAATTTAACCAAGGATGTCAAAGACCTTTATGATGAAAATTACAAAACACTAAAGAAAGAAATAGAAGACGACATAAAAAAATGGAAAAACCTGCCATGCTCATGGATTGGAAGAATCAATATTATCAAAATGTCCATTCTCCCAAAAGCAATTTACAAGTTCAATGCAATACCAATCAAAATACCAAAGTCATTCTTCAAAGACCTAGAAAAAATGATGCTGAAATTCATATGGAGAAACAGGAGACCGAGAATAGCTAAAGCAATCCTTTACAATAAAAACAAGGCCGGAGGCATCACAATTCCAGACTTCAAGACATACTACAGGGCAGTTATAATCAAAACAGCCTGGTACTGGTACAAAAACAGATGGATAGACCAATGGAACAGAATAGAAACACCGGAGATCAATCCAAACATCTATAACCAACTCATATTTGACACAGGACCTAAAACCAACCCCTGGAACAAGGACAGCCTCTTCAACAAATGGTGCTGAGAAAACTGGATGTCCACATGTCGAAGTATGAAGCAAGACCCCTACCTTAACACCTTATACAAAAATCCACTCAACATGGATCAAAGAACTAGAGATGCGCCACGACACCATGAAACTAATTGAGAGCATAGGGGAAACCCTTCAAGATATTGGAACAGGCGAAGAATTCCTGGAGAAACCCCAGAGGGACGAGTAATCAAAGGTAAAATAAACAAATGGGATTACCTGAAATTGAAGAGTTTCTTTACAGCAAAGGAAACAGTCAGGAAAGTGAAGAGGCAACCAACAGAATGGGAGACGTTACTTACAAACGACACAACAGATAAAGGATTAACAACTAGAACCTATAAAATGATCAAAAAACACCACAAAATCAAAACAAACAACCCAATAAAAAAATGGGCCAAGGACCTTAACAGACATTTTTTAAAAGAGGAAATCCAAATGGCCAACAGACACATGAAAAAATGCTCAGGATCCCTAGCCATCAGGGAAATGCAGATCAAAACCACAATGAGGTTTCACCTCACTCCACTTAGATTGGCTTACATACAGAAATCAACCAACAACAGATGCTGGCGAGGATGTGGGGAAAAAGGGACACTAATCCACTGTTGGTGGGAATGCAAACTGGTAAAGCCACTATGGAAGACAGTTTGGAGAGTCCTCAGAAACCTGAATATAGCACTACCACAGGACCCAGCCATCCCACTCCTTGGAATTTACCCAAATGGAATTAAAGGGGAGAAAAAAAGAGCCATTTGCACCTCAATATTTGTTGCAGCTCAGTTCACAACAGCTAGGACATGGAATCAACCTAAATATCCATCAACGGATGATTGGATAAAGAAACTATGGGATATGTACTCTATGGAACACTATACAGCAGTAAAAAACAATGAAATCCGGGCATTTACAAGAAAATGGAGGAAGCTGGAAAACATCATGCTGAGTGAAATAAGCCAGTCCAAAAGGGACAAATATCATATGTTCTCCCTGATCGATGGCAACTAAACGAGCATCTAAAATGATACCCATTGAAGTGAAATGGACACTATGAGAGACAATGACATGATCAGCCCTTGTCTAGACTGTTGAGGAACAACTTACTATTATACTCCTTTTAGTATTTTAATGTTGTTGTTGCTCTGTTTGTTCTACATAAGACCACTGGTTGAACTCTGTAATCAATGCACAATCATTCTTAGGCATTTAAAATTAACAGAAAAGTGATCTCTGTTAAACATAGGAGTTGGGAATAAGAGTGGGAGGAGATATATAGGTTGGCACATGCTCACTCGGACTTACCTCCAATGGTGGAACTAGGAATGTGCCAGGGGATTTCAACTCAATCTTACCAAGGAGGCAGGTACCAATGCCAACGCACTTGGTAAAGTGACAAGTATAAATATACAACCGATCAAAAAGATAGGGTATGTGTCAATGAGATTTCACAAATAAGACCAGTGGAAGCAAATAATGAAGGATAGAATTAAAAGGAAGAGAATGATCCTGCGGGGGAAACAGGACACTCAGCAGACTCATAGAATGGCAGCACTCCTGCCTCAGAATCAACCCTTGGGATATTCGGATCTGGCTAAAAGGTCCATGAGAGTCTCACAGGCATGGAAAGCCATGACACGGTGGCAAAAAACAATCTAAATGAAAGATACTGGTGAACAAGACCCCAGCAGAAGGAACAGGCCATCAAGGAGAGAGGTGCCTTTCTCTGAAGGGAGGAAGGAACCTCCACTGTGATGCGGCCTTGACTAAAGAAGTTGAGAGTCGGTGGACTCAAGGGGCTTCCATAGCCTAGACAGCTCATAGCAAGAGTCTCGGGTGATTGCTGACGTCAAAAATAAGAGTGCCAATTGTTAAATAAACAACGGGAGTCACTGGGTACATGCTCCCTACGTAGGATCTCTGTCCTTAATGTGTTTTACTATGAAACTTAAAAACAACACTACTAGTTGAACAATACCCTATACCTGGTTCGGTTGTGTGAGTGCAGCCTGTTGAAATCCTTGCTTAGTATATACTAAGTTGATCTTCAGTATATGAAAGTAATTGAAAATGAAACTCGATGAAGGGGGGGATGGGAGAGGGAGTGGGAGAGGTGAGGGCCACGGGAGGGAGGGAGGTGGGGGGGGAGAAGCCACAACAATACAAAAGTTGCACTTTGTAAAGTCACATTTATTAAATAAAAAAAACTATAAAAATTCAATACAAATAACACTGTTTCTTCAGTGAATAATTTGCAAAGGAAAAGATTGTATGGACTTTATTTAGATCTTGATTTAAACAAACTGAAAAGGTGGATTTACAGGCAATTGAAAATTTGAACACTGATATTTTATTATCTAGAATTGTTGATAACTTTGGGTGAGCTGATAATAAGTAGTATCATGGAAATGGTAAAGAGTTGTTTTGAGGTACATACTGAAATTATAATAATAGGGGTGGAAAGTGGGTGGGGGATAGTTGAAACGAGCTTGGCTCAGTGACAGTTGAACTGGTAACTATTGTAACTATTTGATGGGTACATGAGGATTCAATATACTCTTGTCTATTTTTGTGTACGTTTTTAGTTTCCAATAATAAAACATTTAGGAGGGAAAAACAAATCATGTACTCTAATAGAATTTGAGATGATAGTGGGAGATTCCATGTGAAAATGCCTAATGAGACGTTAAAAATCAACTGATGCAGAGGTGAGGAAAAGGGATGAACAGGGCTGGAGAAGTATGTTGTTTTGGAATAAAAAGTGATAATTGTGTTAGTGGATAGGGTTTTTGAGAAAGAAGACTGAAAATTAAGGAATAAAATTTGGCGAAAATAAACAGATTATGAATCAGAGAAAGAAAAAGACACCAGTCAGTGGAGAAAAGGGAAGTAATTGGCAGAAAGGTAAGATTGTCTGTTGTTCAGAAATCAAGGGAATAGTTTCAAGAAGTTGAGATCAAGTGCTGTGTTAGGAAGTAGTCGGGTATTACTGTTCTCACCAGTTTTCCAGTATTGTTATTTGCTCTTCTGTTGTATGTAAGAGAATGAGTTTTGGATCTGAGTTTCAAATGGGGCTACCAGCACTTTTATTTCAGGATTCTATGTTTTAGGTGAGTCAATATATATAAAGTTCTTGGAGCAATGTCTGCCACATGGTAAAAGCTGATGCTGCTGATTGTGCTCTGCACCTGGCTGCCCTTCTTATTCCATGCATTAATATGCATCATACAGGCCGGCACTGTGGTGTAGCAGGTAAAGCTGCTGCCTGCAATGCTGGTTCAAATCCCAGCTGCTGCAGTTCCAATCCAGCTCACTCCTGTGGCCTGGGAGGGCAGTAGAAGATGGCTGAAGCCCTTGGGCCCCTGCACTCACATGAGAGACGTGGAAGAAGCTCCTGGCTCCTGGCTTCGGATCGGCGCAGCTCTTGCCGTTGTGGCCATCTAGGGAGTGAACCAATGGATGGAAGACCTCTCTCTCTCTGCCTCTGCCTCTCTGTAACTCCCCCTTTCAAATAAATAAACCTTTTAAAAATCAGATTTTCTTTTTTTTTTAGGCTATATTGATGATGGACTTAGGACTATTTGAGTTGTTAAGTTTTCAAGATGTATCTTATAGGGTTAAAAACTTGGGTTGAATAGCAAAATACTTTAATAATTTTTATGAAAAATTCTTTTATGAAATAAATTCTGTTTTATGAAATAAATTTTATGAAATAAATTTTTTATGAAATAAGTAAATAAATTCTCTTTTATGAAAAAGAGACTTTTCCATGAGTTATCTTTTGTATTTTTCTGGATGTATAGTGGTATTTATTTAAATATTTTAAAATTTTAAATATTTTAAAATTTATAACTAATAAATAACTCATTTGAATATGATTATCCTGTAAAAGTTTCTTCATTAGGAAAAAGTTAAATTCGTACTTCAAACATATGAAAATTGGGATTGATTTTATGGCATGTATTTTAGATTTGAAAATATAAGTTTTTTTTTCTATTTCAAGACTTTAGGTAAAGTTGGCCGAGTACAACAGATCTATTCAGACAGTGATTTAAAGGTGGAAGTTTGTGGAACATCTTGGACATATAATCCGGCAGCAGTTTCCAAGGTGGCATCTGCAGGATCAGCCATTAGCAATGCATCTGGTGGTATGTTTTATATTGTATTAAAAGTGCTATGGTTTATTTGAGAAACTTTGCAATGATTCTCCAGTTCTCTTATATGGATAATGTTGACTTTCTCCTGGATATAGCTTCAGTTAAATTTTGAAAATCTTTTAAACTCTTATGAAAGGTCCGTCCTTCCTTCCTTCCTTCTTTCCTTCCTTCCTTCCTTCCTTCCTTCCTTCTTTCTTTCTCTCTCTCTCTCTCTCTCTTTCTTTCTTTCTTTCTTTCTCTCCTTCCTTTCTTCCTTCCTTCCTTCCTTCCTTCCTTCCTTTCTCTCTCTCTCTCTTCCTTCCTTCCTTCCTTCCTTCCTTCCTAACTTCCTAACTTCCTAACTTCCTAACTTACTTCCTCCCTCCCTCCCTCCCTCCCTCCCTCTCTCTCTCTCTCTCTCTATCTTTCTTTCTTCTGTCTTTCTGTCTTTCTTTCTGTCTGTCTGTCTGTCTGTCTTTCTGTCTGTCTTGCCAGACAATCTTCATTCTGGCTGAAGGACTCTCTGGAAAAGTTCCATAAGTGTATCCTTTTTCTTGGGTGTGTTAGAGGTTTCTCCATATTAAATCTGTCATGCTTAAAATTGAACATTCTGCTCTTTAGTTAAAACTTTTATTTTCTGCCAAAGATCCATCACTTTCTAAAATTATTTTTTTTCTGGAATTGTTGCTAGATAAGGGTTTTCTTCCTGAATATTTTTTACATATCAGCTATATTTTTTCCTCTTACCATTTAGTAAGACTGCTATACATGCCATGGTTAGTGGAAAACCAGGTTAAAATGTGAATGTGCTGGGTACTTGGGTTGACTTATTCTCAAGATCTGTCTGTGCTCTAAACTCAAATTTACACACTCAGTTCGTTTTATAGCATATTGCCAATCACTTTGTGTTCATTGTTGCCATCCAGGAAAGAAGACAGAACTGTAAGTGACAAGAAACAAAAGGAAAACATTAATGTGACCTTCAGTTTAATTTTTGTACTGCTTTCTGTTTCCTCTGCTTATGTCGCTTCTTTCCTCCTGTAATTTGCTAGTGTGCTTCAAGTTTAAATCATGTAGTATTTATTTTTACCTTGAAGTTAGGTGATATCATAATAGGCTATGTAAAAGTAAGACTAAAGAATGGTTAATATCCTACTTTCAAATAATGTAGACTTGGCCCACTTTGTGACCTCTCTTCTTTCTAGTTAAGTAGGAATTAAGGAGTAGAATGTGGTAACTTCCATATTGATAATATTTAGAAAAAAATTTCATATATGGATTTGTGTATTCATCTCAGACTTGCTCTTGTTTTTTCCATACTGATTGCAATTAATTGAAATGCATTATTAGCATTTAGATGTTAATTTCCAGCTGGAATTTGATAATGTCTCTAAAATATATCCCCAAATGTTACAGAGATTGTGTTACTTTTGAATCATGATCATTGGTCTCTAGTATTGAGCTCCAGGAGCCACTGTTGTATGATTAAAGCATGAAAGGAATTGTTATTGTGGTAAAAAGATATTTCCGAACAGTTCAAGGAAAATGCATATTATGAATAACCTGTCTGGATTTCAAAACTTTTTTGCACAAAATAAGCTTATCTTTTTCCGTGAATGTTTTTCAGTTCCCTTGTGCTCCCTTTGTATTGTGTTCATTCATAATCTTTAGTGTAACTTTTTTTTTTTTGACAGGCAGAGTGGACAGTGAGAGAGAGAGACAGAGAGAAAGGTCTTCCTTTGCCGTTGGTTCACCCTCCAATGGCCGCCACCGGCGCGCTGCGGCCGTCGCACCACGCTGATCTGATGGCAGGAGCCAGGTACTTCTCCTGGTCTCCCATAGGGTGCAGGGCCCAAGCACTTGGGCCATCCTCCACTGCACTCCCTGGCCACAGCAGAGAGCTGGCCTGGAAGAGGGGCAACCGGGACAGAATCCGGCACCCCGACCAGGACTAGAACCCGGTGTGCCGGCACCGCTAGGCGGAGGATTAGCCTAGTGAGCCGCAGCGCCGGCAATAGTGTAACTTTTAAATCTAAGATTATTAGTTTGCCATTCTCTACTTTTTCTGAAATTAAAAGTTTGTATCATGAATTGGAGAAAACTTAGAATACTTACAAGATTGAATTTGATGCAGCTTGGTATAATAATGATATAGCTTGTTCGGGTAGTTATTTGAAGTATAGCTAATATAAAAATAGCAATGATGGAAATAATAAAGTAGGAGAAGATTGTAGGAATATGGGTAATAATTGTCTTTTAGTAGTTAATGTTTGAAATCCTCCTATATTAGCTGCTTTATTTTATACTTTACAGAAAGACTGTCACAACTCCTGAAGAAATTATTTGAAACTCAAGAATCTGGTGACCTCAATGAAGAATTAGTTAAGGCGGCTGCTAATGGAGATGTTGCTAAAGTGGAAGATTTGTTAAAAAGACCAGATGTGGATGTGAGCACTTAAAAAATTATTTTGAAGCATACACAAAAATAGAATAGTGAAATGAACACTAGACTCAGCAGTTACTAAGATTTTTATCATATTTGTTTCCTTTATTCCTTCTTATTTGTTTTTCTGGAATATTTTAAAGTAGATACCAGATATTATCTCTAAAAAATAAATGATATTTACTTGTTTTATGCCATGACCTTTTACATTTTGTGATTGATATAACTTAGGTTTGTAAGTGATTAGTGTCCTGTTGGGAAACTCAGTGAATTTTTCTCATGTAAATTTTGTTTGGTGATGTGTTATTTTTTTAAATGTTTCAGTAAATTTATAAGTGATTTTTTATACCTGTGTTCAAAACATTTAAACTTTCCCCCCTTGTACTTACAAAAGTTGAGTATTTCACAGTTTAGAAGGCAGGTGAATTAGAAGTCATTTATTTTTTAGTTTCTTATAGGTTGTACTATAGTTTTGCCATTCACATAAGCCATACTTTAAATGGGCTGTTTTGTTTCTAGCTAAACTATTGTACTTTGACTCTGCCTTGGGTACTTTGCTGGCACCAGTATTATGTCTGGTGCTAGCCCGAGATTATAGTTTAATTGGCAGTTTGAATCATTCTCACTGTGTTGTAAGGACTTTTGTTGCTACACCTTTTCATGTTTTAAGTATTCTAAGGAGTTCGAGAAAGACCAGATCTATAAGTGTAAGTTGTCTTATTCCTCTTATAAGCTCATGTGACATTTTTGCCTTATTGGAGAGCAGTCAGTTGCAGTATACAACAGTGATTTCTGTATTGGTTGTCAGATAAATCACAAATAATTTGTTTCAGATATTAATGTATCAAATGAAAACATCCTACGGCCTTTATATTCAGCCAAGTTGATACACATTTTATTTTTTGATACACATTTTATTATACTTAATTTTTTCATCTAATTACTGATTTAAAGTTATTTTAACACTGCCTTACTTGCTGAATATTTAAAGGGAAAAATGAGTTTATGAGATTTTTTGTGACAGCATCTGTTCCTTCTCATCTTCTCATTCTTATTTTCCCATTCTTTTCCTTTTTTTGACAGGCAGAGTTAGACAGTGAGAGAGAGACAGAGAGAAAGGTCTTCCTTTTTTCTGTTGGTTCACCCCCCACGTGGCCGCTACGGCCGGCATGCTGTGGCTGGGTGCTGCGCCAATCCGAAGCCAGGAGTCAGGTACTTCCTCCTGGTCTCCCGTGTGGGTGCAGGGGCCCAAGCACTTAAGCCATCCTCTACTGCCTTCCCGGGCCACAGCAGAGAGCTGGATCGGAAGAGGAGCAACCGGGACTAGAACCCGGTGCCCAAGTGGGATGCCAGATCCGCAGGCGGAGGATTAACCAAGTGAGCCACGGCGCTGGCCCCTATTTTCCCATTCTTAAGACGCAACTAGTTTTAGCTGTGTTGGCTGTTGTTCTTTATGTTTACTTCCCTATCTTCTGTTGTCATTTAACCCTCCCTTATGCTTTTGTTTCAGGAGTTACCTTTTAAAAACTTATTTATTTGAGAGAGGGAGAGCAGTTAGAGAGAGAGAGAGAGAGAGAGACTGACCAACAGAGGGAGCTTCCTTCACTCCCCAAATTTCTGCAGTGGCCCAGGCTGGACCATGCTGAAGCCAAAACCTGGGAACTCCATGTGGATTCCCACGTAGGTGGCAAGGACCCACTACTTGAGCAGTCCTAAATTTGCTGCCTCCAAGGGTGAGCATTAACATGAAGCTGGGATTAGGAGCAGAGCTGGGAATTGGATTCTTCTGGGGATGTGGGCCTTTTAACTGCTAGGCCCAAGGCCCTCCCTCAGGATCACTTTTTGATACCTCTCTGTAGAACGTGAAGACTTAGCTTTCTGTCACCACCTCTGGTCCACCCACACCAGAAACACATAACACTCTTTCCAGCTTCTTCATGTGGTTGTATTGTGTTGTAATTTTGTTTTTGTGAGAATTAATTGTGTGTGTTGCTTAACTGACATTTGCATGTGAGCTGGGGAGTATACTAGATGTAGTTTCCTATACAACTTTGTTTTTGCTGTAGTTCATAATTATCCTTTTAAAAAATTAGTATCTATTTTCCATACAATGAAATACATGCGTCATGTTGACAGATGTGTACATACATAATCCACATCCCTACTATGTGTAACATTTCCTCCATTCCTAGAAGTTCATTTGTGGTCTTTGTAGTTCTCGTATGCCCACAAATAATTTTTAAGTTTTTTCATTTGTTAGTAATCTATATTCTTAGAATTATTTCTTCTCAAACTGCTCTCTGTCTAATCTCCCAAGACACTGGAGCATATCAGATGTGTATTCATTTTATCTTCTGGGAGTAATTTCCCTTTGTGCTTCCTGACATGCTTAATCTGGACAATGCTCCCTCTACATTGATAGCATTTGAAAAGACTCCTCACTAATCACCCCGAGGGTTCTGTTTCTCTCTACTGTGTTAGATTTCTGGTTTTCTATACCTCTATTTTTCCTCATATTCTCTCTCTTTGGTGAAGTACAGTTTTCAGTAGCATAGTAAATAGACCTTTCTCAGTTAAGTTTCAGATAGGAATAGAATTCCTAGATTAGAAGTGATTTTTTCTTAAGCATAAATTCAGAATTGCTGTTGAGGAGATTTAATTCTCTCTGATTCTGTGTGGAAGCTGTTTTCTTCTGTTGAGCATGAGGATCTCTTGTTTTAATCAGTACTGTGAGCTTGCAAAATAATGGGCCTTGATGTGGATCTGTTTCCATCAGTTGTGTCAGCTGTTTGATCTTTAGCATCTGGAAAGTATATCTTTCATATCTGGACATTTTTTATAATAACTTCATTGGTGATTTCTGTTCTTCCGTTTTCTCTAATCCTGGAATGGTTTTTGCTTTTGAAATTGTCATTCATTATTCCATTACTTTTGAATTTCAAGGAGGTTTTTTTTTGTGTGTTTCTATGCACATTCCTTTTAGTGGTGTCATGTTGGTATTTAAAGGATTCAATATCAGCTCTTTTCCTTACTGTGTATACTAATGGTAAGTTTTTTTTTTTTTTTTTTTTTTTTTTTTTTTAAGCATTTTCTCATTTTCTTACCCTGCTTAATTTTTGGCCCCTCTGATTTACTCTTTTCTGTTTGTTTTTGCTTTTCATTTTCATGTCAGAAACCATTCATCAGATATCTGGTGATCTTTAGTTATCTATTTATCTATAAGAGTGGGCAGTAAACAGATAACACTCCAGCTTCTTCGTGTGGTTATATTGTGTTGTAATTTTGTTTTTGTGAGAATTAATTGTATGTGTTGATTAAATGACATTTGCACATGAGCTGGGAGTATACTAGATGTAGTTTCCTATACAACTTTGTTTTTGCTGTAGTTCATAATTGTCCTTTTAAAAAAATTAGTATATTAGTTTCTTCCATTCCATTTGTTATGGAAGCTTGTGTGTCTGCGAATGGGTTTGACAACTCTGGACTCTGCTGTTTGGTCATCTGGTTGGTTATTTCCTTGGGCTACTCCTGGCATCAGTCTTTAGGTCTTTTCTGATCTAGGGAGATTTCTTGATGCTATAAGATCTCTTATAGCATTGAGGCTATAAACTTGGTTGCCAGCCTTATGAATACTGATTAAGGGCAGAGGGCTTGGTGTCTCAGCATTCATCGTATAAATGCACAACTTCAGTTTTTGGTCTTATACCCTGCCCTTAATAATACCTGGTCTCTGTAGCTTTTTAGAGAATAAACTTCAGCTTTCTTGTACTCCAACAGTAGAGCAGTAGTGTAGGGAAATCCAGGAATGTAAGTGCTTTATATTTTATTTTTTTAATAATGCATTTATTTATTTGAAAGAGTTACAGAGAGGGGTGGAGACAGAGAGAAGAGAATGAGACAATGGGAATCTTCTGCTGCCTAGTTCCCTCCCCAGATGGCTGCAGTGGCCAAGGCTGGGCCAGGCTCTGAAGCCAGGAGTTTCTGCTGGGTCTCCCACATGAGTGGCAGGGGCTCAAGCACTTGGGCCATCTTCCACTGCCTTTCCCAGGCTATTAGCAGGGAGCTGGATTGGAAGTGGAAACGCCAGGACACAAGGTGGCAGCTTTATCTGCTACACCACAATGCCAGCTCCCCTCCCTCTAAATACTTTTTAAATAGACTTCCAACCAGTGCTTTCGTGTTGAGCACCTACCATCTCATTTATTTCCATATTCGGAAGTGTGCATTCGTCTATTCTGAGCATTTTGAGGGTTTGTTGGTGAAAGGATTGCTGCTAGGTTTTTCTTGTGGCAGACTTAGGTCTACTTTCTTGGTCTGCGAAGTGGGTTGTACTTGTTCAACTGCTTCCCAGCTTCTAGTGTATATGAGTGTATATATGTCTCTCTGTTTGTATGAGCATGTTACTGTGTATGTGTGTTCTCTTTTCTTTATAATTCTAATTATGGTTGAGGATTGAGGCTTAAAAGAAAGAAATCTTTAATAAGATTTCAGGAGATAATGGAAATAAAGTCCTGTAGAATCATTTGGTCTGGCCTTTGCCAAAGCAGCTGCAGGTGGGACTTGAAATTCAGTAAATCCATCACAGGCTAATTTTTTAAAAAAGATGTACTGTATTTATTAGAAAGACAGGGTTACAGAGAGGGAGAGGGAGAAATGGAGCTCTTCCATCTGCTGCTTCACTCCCCAAATGGCTGCAACTGCCCGGGCTGGGCAAGGCTGAAGCCAGGAGCTTCTATTGGGTCTCCCACATGGATGGCCAGGCACCCAAGGACTTAGACTATCTGCTGCTGCTTTCCTAGGCACATTAGCAGGGAGCTGGATTCTAAGTGGAGCCTCCAGGACTCAAACTGGTGCCCAAGTGGGATGCCAGCATTGTAGGTGTCAGCTTAACCTGCTGTTCGACAGTGCTGGCCCTGAGCAGGCTAATGTTAAATTGATAATTTTGTGTGGCCCACAAATGTTAAAAGATTCAAATGGAGTACCAACATTGTGGCAGAGCAGGTAAAGCTGCCACCTGCGACGCTGGCATCCCATATGGGCACCAGTTTGAATCCCAGCTGCTCCACTTCCAATCCAACTCCCTGCTAATGGCCTGGGAAAGGCAGTAGATGGCCCAAGTGCTTGGGCCCCTGCCACCCATGTGGGAGACCTGGCAGAAGCTCCTGGCACCTGGCTTTAGCCTGGCACAGTGCTGCGGCCATCTGGGGAGTGAACCAATGGTTGGAAGATCCTCTGTTTCTTTCTATAACTCTGACTTTCAAACAAATAAATAAATCTTAAAAAAAAAAAAAATCGAAATGGCCCTTGGCAGAACAGAAGGTTCCTACCCTTGAATACTATTCTAAGAAGGTAAAGGTGTCATAATAGTGAAATTTGGTCCTTGCCTCTTATCTACCACTTTTCCACCTCTCCTAGTGGAATTTTTGTCCTTTTTTTCTAACATCTTCCTCCTGAACTTTAGATAAGAAGTATTCTTGAATATCTCTCATTAAAGATGTTGTTTTTTTTTTCCTCTTAATTTGTTTCTTCCAAGGTCAGTTCCTTTCTTCTTTTAATTTTTTTTCAAATTATTTTGTTTGTGTGTATGTTTGAGATCTTCCTCTGGTGGTTGTACATTCATATCTGAATAAGACACTAAAAAGTTAATAGGGAGCAATTATTTAGCTTAGTGGTTAAGGAACTTCTTAAGATGTTTGTGTCTCCTATCAGAATATCTGGGTTTTATTCTTGGCTCTGGATTCTGATTCCATTTTCCTGCTAATGAAGACCCTGGGAGACAGTGGTGGTAGTACAGTTGGGTGGGTTCCTAGCTACCCATGTGAAACAGCTTTGACCTGGTCTAACCTCAGTCATTGTAGGCTTTTGGGGAGTGAGCCAGTGGATGGGCGCTCTCCGTCTCTGTCTGTAATATATATAGTTAAAAAATGATGATTGGTGGGCCAGTGTTGTGGTGCAGTCTCTGCTTATGATATTTGCATCCGATATCAGAGTTCTGTTTCTAGTCTCAGCTGCTCTGCGTCTGCCAGTATACCGGGAAAGGCAGCAGAAAGATGATCCTGCACACATGAGGGAGACCAGGATGGCTTCAGCCTGGCCCAGCCCCAGCCATGGTGGCGTGAAACAGCAAATGGAAGATTTCTCTCTCTCTCTTTTGCTCTCTCTCTTTCTTCCTCTCTTTCAAGTAAAGTAAATAAATAAATAAATCTTTTTAAAAAATGATGATTGGTAGCTCCCTTTACCTGAAGAGGACTTAATTAACTGACTTTGCATTATGGTGATTGGATGCATGGAGCTTTTGGGGTATTTCTGAGTGCTATCATTTAAGAGTCTGTTCCTTATGGCTATTCAGTCGTTCAGGGCAAGAAGCTTCCTTTTTCCTGCTGAGAGACAGGGTCCAGGTAGTTAATAGCTTGTCTTTGAGCTCCTGGAGTACACCTTGAGTGTGGCCATTGCATGTCACACACATTACTTTTCCCCTCGTGTCAGCCCTCTGATATGCTTATATGAGTAGGCTTTGTGTCTGCTGGACTTACTAGGCTCTGTAGACAGGGGCTTCCTCTTTTCTATAGTCAGTTATTACTTCTCTATCTTCTTTCTTTCATAGACATGTAGCTTTTTCTTTTCCTCTGGGATTACTATTCCCTTTCTCTTTGTCTTTATGGACTTCTTTTTTTTTTACATTTTAGTTATTTTTATTTTTTTTAGTTAATTTTACAGTTATTTTAATGTAGTATCAGGAGGGATAGGATATAAAAATATGTCCATGCTGTCATCTTTAACCTCCTTTTGTGGTTTTATGGATGGGATAAATGGGGAAGAATTAAGGAATTGCACTTGGTTTTAGGTATGTCTGTATGCATGCACATAACACCTGCAGTAAAGCAAAGAAGGGAAATCACTACTTTCTTGTATGTGGCCACCTTGCTAACTCATTTATGTATTCTTCATGGTAGTTTGCCTGTAGCTGGTATTGAATATATATGTTGAATTAAATTTATTTATATGTAGTGGCTAGTATCTTTATTCTAAAAATTTTCTATTCACCTTTCTGCTTTTTTCATTGAACCATGTTTTCTGAGATTTAATACTCCAAAAAGAAATATATAAAATTAACTTTCTTGGCCGGCTCCGTGGCTCACTTGGCTAATCCTCCGCCTGCGGTGCCAGTACCCTGGGTTCTAGTCTCAGTCGGGGCGCCAGATTCTGTCCTGGTTGCTCCTCTTCCAGTCCAGCTCTCTGCTGTGGCCCGGGAGTGCAGTGGAGGATGGCCCAAGTCCTTGGGCTCTGTACCCGCATGGGAGACCAGGAGGAAGCTCCTGGCTCCTGGCTTCGGATCGGCTCAGTGTACCGGCTGCAATGCACCAGCTGTATCAGCCACTTGGGGGGTGAACCAACGGAAAAAGGAAGACCTTTCTCTATGTCTCTCTCTGTCTGTCTCTCTCTCTCTCTCTAACTCTGCCTGTCAAAAAAAAAAAAAATTAACTTTCTTCTTTAAACTTATAGATGGGCTAAATTCTATCATAGGTCTTTGAATAATGAAATTTTTTTATCAAAAATATGTTTGCCTTTTTTCTATAAATTAAAGAGCTATGGTATATGGAAAAGCGACTTAAATTAGTCTCATAAATTGAAAAACTGACACAGAATATCATTTTCATAGAATCATTTGGTATACTAGATTTATAACTACACTGTATGTATGTATTGATTCTTTCTGAATTGTGACATTTGTTCATCTTTTCTTTTTTATTCAGGTAAATGGGCAGTGTGCTGGCCATACAGCTATGCAAGCTGCTAGTCAAAATGGACATGTTGACATTTTGAAGTTGCTTTTGAAGCAAAATGTGGATGTAGAAGCTGAGGTAACTAAACTAAGCTTGAAAAATATTTTAAGTTAAATTTAATGTCCTGAAATATTTCTGTGTGAGATGCATTTTCATTTTTGAAAGTTAATGTTTACCTAATGTTTTTCTGATTGAAAATAAAATTTGACAGAAGACAGTGTGCCTCAATAGCCTAGGCAGGGCCCTTGGTTAAGATATGAGTTCAGTTTCCTGCTACTATGGTAGAACCACTCTGCTATTGGAAGCCCAGTTGGGTTCACCCAAGAATTACACTAAGGTAGTTGAGGAAAAGGGAATATGAAACTCCTGGGTCAAGGTGTTTCCTGATCCCTGTGTTTTTCTTCATTTTTGTTTTTGAATTGGCATTTGTTTACTCTTACTTCTTCAACTTAGTGTGGGTCTTTGAAGAGTTTAGAGTGCACTTAACACTGTATGTGTATATATGTTATTAATACAGAGTATTTTTTCAGAAGAGGAATAAATATTGAGAGACTCATTGAAGTCTCTTGGGAATCGATACATGTGGTGGAAATGATGGCTTGCTTTGTCTTAGTTAACTGTCATCTCATTATTAAAAATAGTATCACTTTTGTGTTACTCTAGTATAACATTAGATAGCAGATTATTTAGATAGATAGCAAATGTAGATTGTGCAGAGTATTGCTATTTTGTTCAAATGACACTGTCTTCTATGAGAGGTTAATAAAGACAGATTACTGAGTGTTAAATTTGTGGCTCAGTCTATTTACTAGTTTAAGAAATTTTAAAGATACTTGAAAAGGAAAGTGTTTTCTAGTCTAACGTTATTTTTACTTTTTTTCTCTAACTGTATTTTGAATTGTTGGATAGCTACTAAAGAGCCTGTGTTGGAATAAATAAGTCATCTTTGATGTTGAAATTTTCTGTTGGCCAGAAAGAATTTGAATTTTAAAAACATCTGAATTATATTTTATTACTTTGATGTTCTATGAATGATATGGTGTAGTTTGGTTTTGCTTTTACAATAGTAATCTTTTCAGTTTTATTTATTTATATATCTGAAAGGCAGAGTGAGAGAGACAGAGAGATCATCCATCTGTTGGTTCCCTCACCATATGACTACAATGGCCAGGGCTGAGCTTCTTCTGGGTCTCCCATGTGGGTGCAGGGGCCCAAGTACTTGGCAGGGAGCTTGACCAGAAGTGGAGCAGCCAGATATGAACTATATGGGATGCTAGCATCGCAGGCAGAGGCTTAACTTCCTATGCCACAATGCTGACCCCAGTGTAGTATTTTACTTTAAGGTTACATTCTTTTTTTTTCCTTTTTTCTTTTTTTTGACCGGCAGAGTTAGACAGTGAGAGAGAGACAGAGAGAAAGGTCTTCCTCCCATTGGTGCACCCCCCAAATGGCCACTATGGCCAGCATGCTGTGCCGATCTGAAGCCAGAAGCCAGGTGCTTCCTCCTGGTCTCCCATGTGGGTGCAGAGCCCAAGCACTTGGGCCATCCTCCACTGCCTTCCCAGGCCACAGCAGAGAGCTGGACTGGAAGAGGAGCAACCAGGACAGAATCCAGTGTCCCAACCAGGACTAGAACCCAGGGTGCCGGCGCCACAGGCGGAGAATTAGCCTAGTGAACCATGGCACCGGCCTAAGTTACATTCTTTTTTTAAAAAGATTTTATTCATTTGAAAGGTAGAGTTACAGTGTGTGGGGGGGTGTCTTTCATCTGCTGGTTTACTCTCCAAATGACTAGAGCTGTGTTGATCTGTAGCCAGGAGCCAGGAGCTTCCTCTGGGTCTCCGATGTGGGTGCAGCGGCCCAAGGACTTGGGCTATCTTCTACTGCTTTCTCAGGCCTTAGCAGAGAGCTGGATTGGAAGTGGAGCAGCCAGGACTGGAACTGGCACCTATTGTGGGATGCTGGCACTGCAGGCCAGCTTTACCTGCGACGCCACAGAGCCAGCCTTTAAGTTAAATTCTTATGGGTTGTGAATTTAGGGAGTAACTTTGTATTGTAAGGTGTTTTGTTTTGATAATGAAATAAACACAAGTAAATTTTAGTGTTTTGTAAGTGGAAAGCAATTACTTTATTTTGTTACTGTTTTAGTTTGATTTGAGGGAATGAAGTAAAATTCACTAAGTTGGCTAGCTCTCATTTTTTATTTAGTGAATCCAGAAACTACAATAGCAACAACTACTAAAAAAAAACTCAACATCCTTCTGTTTAAGCTAATAGGGAAGACCACTGAAAAGCTATAATTTTCCACCTCATTTATAAAAAAAGGCTTCAGTTCTGATTGAGAACTCAGTCACTCAGTATGGCCATATGGGACTGTATGTGTGTGTATGTGGGAATAAAATGGACCCTGCTTTTCTTTTCTTTTTCCCTAAATTGAGCTAAAAATATAAGATAAATTATTAGCTGATTCTATAAACATTGTAAGATTGGTGATGGAATGAGGCTGAGTAGGCTAGGTATTTAAAAATATTTTGCAAACTGTAGCTGTTAACTATAGAGCAGTGAAATATGTACATAGATGTTTCAAAAAGTTTAGGGAAAATTGAATTAAAGATAAGTTTATTTTGGCTGGCGTCGCGGCTCAATAGGCTAATCCTCCGCCTTGCGGCGCTGGCACACCGGGTTCTAGTCCCGGTCGGGGCACCGGATTCTGTCCCAGTTGCCCCTCTTCGAGGCCAGCTCTCTGCTGTGGCCCGGGAGTGCAGAGGAGGATGCCCCAAGTGCTTGGGCCCTGCACCCCATGGGAGACCAGGATAAGTACCTGACTCCTGGCTTCGGATCAGCGCGGTGCACCGGCCGCAGCGTGCCGGCTGCGGCGGCCATTGGAGGGTGAACCAACGGCAGAGGAAGACCTTTCTCTTTGTCTCTCTCTCTCACTGTCCACTCTGCCTGTCAAAAAGAAAAGTTTATTTTCCTCAAAAACTTTGAAATTCATGTATAGTTTTATGTTTATATGTATTTTCTGTAAACTTTTTGAAGAGCCCTTATACAAGGGAACTTCTCCCATACTCGTCATTTAGAATTCCATTCTGTTTAGATTTTTTTTAAAAAGTTTTATTTATTTATTGAAGAAGCAGAATGATGGTGGGTGTGGGGTAGGGATCTTTCATCCACTGGTTTATTCCCCAAATGCCCATAACATCCAGAACTGAGCTAGACCAAAGCCTGGAAACTGAAATTCCATCTGGGTCTCCCACATGGATGGCAGGGATTCATGTACTTGAACTGTCATCTGTTGCTCAAATGCAGGAAGCTAGATTGATAGTAGAAGTAGGACTTAGTCCCAGACACTGATAGGGGATGTGTAAGTCCTACGCATGATTTAACTTGCTGTGCCACAATGCCCACCCCCATTTTCTGCTTCAAAAATTATTATAGGCAGATGGAATTTGTAAAATGTAGTGGAAAAAAAAGGGGATATTTGTTTTTTTTAAAAAAAGATTTATTTATTTATTTGAAAGCCAGAGAGAGAGAGAGAGAGAGAGAGAGAGAGAGGTCTTCTTTCTGCTGGTTCACTCCCAAAATGGCTACAACGGCAAAAAGAGCTGAGCCGATCTGAAGCCAGGATCCTGGAGCTTATACTGGGGTGGGTGCAGGAACCCAGGCACTTGGGGCATCTTCCACTGCTTTTCCAGGCTATGAGCAGAGAGTTGGATCGGAAGAGGAACAGCCTGGACTTAGTCCGGTGCCAATATGGATGCCAGTGCTGCAGATGGAGGCTTAGCCTAGCACATCACAATGCTAGTCCCAAAAAAAGGGATATTTGTATATCATGTTAAATTGATAACACAGTTTCCCAATTATTCATTGAAATCTATATTTAAAAGTTGAGTTTAGGGGCCAGTGCTGTGGCATAGTTGGTTAAGTCTCTGCCCATGGTGCCAGCATCCCATATGGGTGCCAGTTTGAGTCCCAGCTGCTCCACTTCCTATCCAGCTTCCTGCTAATGGCCTGAGAAAGCAGCAGAAGATGGCCTAAGATGGAAGACCTCTCTGTCTGCTTCTTCCTCTCTCTGTTTCTCCTTCTCTCTGTAACTCTGCTTCTCAAATAAATAAATCAGTCTTTAAAAAAAATTGAGTTTAAATACAAATCTAACTCATGGCATATGACTAAAATAAAACTTCATCAAAGCCTCATTTTTATAGGATATAAATTTGTTTATAACAGTGGTTCTCTAGTAGGGGCCTTTTTTTTTTCCCCATGAGAGGAGGGACATTTGGAGAAGTCTGGAGACTTTTTAATTGTTTTAATTGAGAGAGTAAGAGAGAGATAGAAATAGAGACAGACACAGAGAGGGCTTACATTTACTGTTTATGTCCCAAATGTCTGTAATGGGTGTGACTAAACCCAAGAACTGGAAATTCTATCCAGGGATCTAACAACTTGAGCCATCGCCTCCTGCCTGCTAGAATCTGCCTTCCAGGCTGATCTTTGTCATTTTGCCTTTCAAATAAATAAATCTTTAAAAAAAATGTTATCTGTTCCTGGTTTCAGCCTGGCCCAACCCTGGTTATTGCAGGCATTTAGGGAGTGCACCAGTAGGTGGAAAAATCTCTCCATTTGTTTGTGTCTCTGCTTTACAAAAAAAAAATATATAAACACAATTAAAAAAAAAAAAAACAAAGGAATCATCTAGAAACAGAGACCAAGACAGACAGAGAGAGAGAGAGAGAGAGAGAAAGATTTTTTTTTTTCTGTCTGCTAGTTTACTGCCCAAATGGCTGCAATGGTTGGGTCTGGGCCAGGCTGAAGCCAGGAACTTGGAAATTCATCCAGGTCATTTATGTGAGTACTAGTGTCCCAAATACTTGGGCCATCTTCTCCTGCTTTCCAGGTGCATTAGCAGGGAGCTGAATCAAAAGCAGAGAAACCAGGACTACTATGTTAAAAATTACTAGTCTAAAAATCAGTAGTAACACTGCTTTGCAACTCTACATTTGTCATCTCTGTAATTTAACAGACTATTGCATTAAAAAATTGCTGCTTTATGCTTTTGGATACAAAATGCACAAAGGTATGATTTTGTGACATCAGTAAGTTAAAGATTTGGGAATGGAGATGTAAATAAGGTTTTATCTTATGTAAATAAGGTATTATCTAATTAGGAGCTTAAATGTAATCCTTTTGATAACATCAAATAAAATACTCAAGAATATACACAACAGATTATGAGAAGGGAATTTAAACATTTCATTGTAGGACATCAGCTAAATATAAGACAGCAGTATAGGAAATGAGGGACAAAAAAGCTATAAAGCATATAGAAAACAAATAGGAAAATGACAGGAGTAAATCCCTTTTTACCATTAGTTACTTTAAATGTAAATAAATGGGTTAAACTACAGTTCAAAGACAGAGAATGGCAGAGTGGATTAGAAAACATTATCAAGCTATATGCCATCTTTAGGAAACTTGCTTTAGATTCAATGAAAACAAATAAATTGAAACTGGAAGGATGGAAAAAGATTTGTCATGGAAATAGTAGCCAAAGGAGAGCGGGGGTGACTGTTAGAATTTCAGACTAAAAAATATACTTTAAATCAAAAGCTTACAAGATACAAAGAATGATGTTGCACTTACATTAGCAAAAGGTTCAGTACAGCAAAAAACAATTATGGGCCAGCACCGCGGCTTACTTGGCTAATCTTCCGCCTGGGGCGCCGGCACCCTGGGTTCTAGTCCTGGTTGGGACACTGGATTCTGTCCTGGTTGCTCCTCTTCCAGTCCAGCTCTCTGCTGTGGCCTGGGAAGGCAGTGGAGGATGGCCCAAGTGCTTGGGCTCTGCACCCACATGGGAGACCAGGAGAAGCACCTGGCTCCTGGCTTCGGATTGGCACAGCGCGCTGGCCGTAGCAACCACCTGGGGGGTGCACCAATGGAAGGAAGACCTTTCTCTCTGTCTCTCTCTCTCTCTCACTGTCTAACTCTGCCTGTAAAAAAAAAAAAAATTATAAACCTTCGTGCAGTGTAAAAATTGTCAGAATTGAATGGAGAAATAGACATTTCTGCAAAGGTAGTTGAAGATTTCAGTACTCCACTCAATGAGTAGAGCAACTAGACAAAAAACAAAGAAATAGAGGACCTGAACAACACAGTAAGCCAACTACATCTAACAAACACATTAAAGAACACTCTGCAACAGCAGAATATACATTCTTCTCAAGTGCAGATGCAGTATTCTTTAAGATAGACCATATATTTGGCCACAAATACTGGAGGCAGGGTACTTTATAAGGAAAAGAGCTAATTTAGCTCTTAGTTCTTCTTCTTCTTCGTCTTTTTTTTTTTTTTTTTTTTGACAGGCAGAGTGGACAGTGAGAGAGAGAGACAGAGAGAAAGGTCTTCCTTTGCCGTTGGTTCACCCTCCAATGGCCGCTGCGGCCGGCACACCGCGCTGATCCGATGGCAGGAGCCAGGTACTTATCCTGGTCTCCCATGGGGTGCAGGGCCCAAGCACTTGGGCCATCCTCCACTGCACTCCCGGGCCACAGCAGATAGCTGACCTGGAAGAGGGGCAACCAGGACAGAATCCGGCGCCCCAACCGGGACTAGAACCCGGTGTGCCGACGCCGCAAGGTGGAGGATTAGCCTAGTGAGCCGCGGCGCCGGCCTCTTCTTCTTCTTTTTTTTTTTTTAATTTATTTGAAAGACAGAGTTACACAGAGAGAGCGAGAGACACACAGAGAGAGAGAGGTCTTCCATCTGCTGGTTCACCTCCCAGATGGCCGCAACGGCTGGAGCTGCTCCAATGTGAAGCCAGGAGCTTCTTCTGGGTCTCCCATGTGGGTGCAGGGACCCAAAGATTTGGGCCGTCCTCCACTGCTTTCCTAGGCCATTAGCTCATAGTTCTTAATGCCCAACAGCATGACCTTGGCTTCTGGTGAGGGCCTTTCAGTGATCAGCATTATGTGGCAGGTGTGTATGCGAGGGGAATAGAGGGACAAGTTAAGGAAGGGGTCTGGGTTTGGGGTTGTCATGATGAGAGAGGGAGTAAATGACCAGGGGAGACAAGGCTTACTGTTTTATAACAACCTGCTCTGTAACTAATTCAATACTGTGAGACCTCCATTAATCCCTTCATGAGAGCAGTGTCTCCATGACTTAGTTTCTTTACTTTTCTTTCTTTTTTTTTTTAAAGATTTATTTATTTATTTGAAAGGGAGATTACAGAGAGGCAGAGGCAGAAAGAGAGGTCTTTCATCTGCTGGTTTGCTCCCCGGATGGCTGCAACGGCTGGAGCTGCGCCGATCTGAAGCCACGAGCCAGGAGCTTCTTCTTGGTCTCCCACGTGGGTATAGGGGCCCAAGGACCTGTGCCATCTTCCACTGCTTTCCAAGTCCATAGCAGAGACCTGGATTGGAAGTGGAGCAGCTAAGACTTGAACCGGAGCCCATATGAGATGCTAAAACTGCAAGTGGCAGCTTTACCTGCTACGCCGCAGCGCTGGCCCCAACTTAATTACTTTCTACCAGCCACCCCCTTTTTTTTTTTTTTTTTAAGATTTATTTATTTATTTGAAAGTCAGAGTTATACAGAGAGAGAAGGAGTGGCAAAGAGAGAGAGAAGTCTTCCATCCACTGGTTCACTCCCCAATTGGCTGCAGTGACTGGAGCTGTGCTGAGTCAGGAGCTTCTGCAGGGTCTCCCATGCGGGTGCAGGAGCCCAAGGACTTGGGCCATCTTCTGCTGCTGTCCCAGGCCGTAGCAGAGAGCTGGATCAGAAGTGGAGCAGCAGGGACTAGAATCGGCGCCCTTATGGGATGTCAGCACTGCAGGTGGTGGCTTTATGTCACAGTGCAGGCCCCATCACTTTTTTTTTAGTTAAAATTTTTTTATTTATATAAAGTGACCAAATTTCATGTATTTCATATATATATATATAGATAAGAGAGTAATGATAGTTCCCACCCTCTCTCCTCCTTTTCTTATTTTTTTCTTTTAATTTTTACAATGGCACACTTTCATTTTATTTTATAATCACAAGTTTAATCCTCCTCCAAATAAAGGATTCAACAAGTAGCAAGTAGAAAAGCCACTATTCATCAAGAGTATAGACAAGGGCTGTAAACTATAACCAAGTCTCAAAATGCAATTTTGCTCATATACATTATATTTTTTGTGTGTGGTGTATATTAATTACCACATATCAGAGAAAACATGGTATTGTCTTTTTGGGACTGGCTTATTTCACTAAGCAAAATGGTTTCCTGTTGCATCCGTATTGTTGCAAAAGACAGGATTTCATTCTTTTTTTTTTTTACAGCTATCACCTCTTAAAGACCCACCACCTGCGTGTGCTTTTACTTTGGGGTGTAAGCTTCCAGCACAAGAAACCTTGGGTGATAAACTACAGTAGTCACAAATGCAGTCTCAATAAATTTAAAAACATAAACATACAAAGCATCTTCTCCAGACATTGTGGAATGAGGTTAGAAATCATTAATGGTGGAGGCCAGTGCTGTGGCATAGCAGGTAAAACCACCTCCTGCTACTCAGGCATCTCATATGAGTACCGGTTTGAGTCCTGGTTGCTCCACTTTCAATCCAGCTTCCTGATAATGCACTGGAAAAGCAACAGAAGACAGCCCAAGTGCTTGGGCCCCTGCGCCCATGTGGGATACCTGGAAGAAGCTCCTGGTTCCTGGCTGTGGTCTGGCCTAGCCCTGGCTGTTGCAGCTGTTTGGGGAGTGAACCAGCAGGTGGAAGATCTCTCTTGCTCGCTCGCTCGCTCTCTTTCTTTCTGCCTCTCCCTCTCTCTGTCTCTGTAACTCTGCTTTCAAATCAATTAAAAACAAAAAAAGAAAAGAAAAAAAGAAAAATCAGTAACCAAAGCAAAAACAGAGGCAGACATAGACAGAGATTTTTTTTTTTAATGTAGTAGAGAGACATCAAAGAGAATTCTGTCTTTGGTGTGAGGAATAGATTTGGGTAACAATAAAGTAGAGACAAAAGGAGCTAGTTTAGGTGAGTGAGTATGAAGGCCTGAACTAGTTGTATAGTTGGAGAAGATAGAACAGATTTGAGCATAAATTAAGAAATAAGGTTAGAATTTTGGAAGGGCATTTAGTACAGCTGTTAGGATGCGCTTGGGATGCTTGCATCCTATATTAGAGTGTGTGGTTTGAGTCCTTGCTCCTTCACTTGGGAGTCAGCAAATGATGGCTCAAGTACTTGTATCCCTGCCACCCACAGGAGACCAGCATTCAGTTCTGGGTGCCTGCCTTCAGCCTTGGCCAGCTGTGGCTATTAGGGGCATTTGGGGAATGAAGATGTTTCCTTTGTCTCTGTGTGACTGCCTTTCAAATAAAAGTGAAAATAAATAAATAAAACTTTAAAAAAGCTATAGAATTTGGTGACTGTGTAATAGAGGACTCAAAAAGAGTGTAGATGAGTATGAGTTAGGGATAATGATTTTGTTGACCATATCACCTGTGGTTCCATCAGCTAAGAGGGAATATTGGAACAAGATCAGATTTTGGAGAATTGGGAGGAAGAATAGGGGGGAGAGAAAAATAGAGTCAAGATCAGTGTTAGCTTTAGTATAAGTCCCTTTATAAATTCTTTGAGATAACCTTGTGAAGGTCTTCTGTAACCTTGTCCCTTAAAATTCTCATTGGTTATCTGTAACAAATTCAGGGGGCCAGAGTAATGATTTAACTACATGTAGTTTATATGATGTAACTATTAGTCTAGTAAATATAGCTATTGGTCTGATAATATATTGGTCTAGGCTTATCATTTATCTTTGGAATTAATCACTGTTCTGGTTACTTTGTTGGCTCTACTTTGTTTATTTTTCTCAAATTAATCTGGTTCTTGGTATATTATTATAGTTTTGTTTTTTCTTCTAAAATATTCACTAATTCAAATTTAAATACTAATGTTTAGGATAAAGATGGAGATAGAGCAGTTCACCATGCAGCCTTTGGAGATGAAGGTGCTGTTATAGAAGTACTACACCGAGGCAGTGCTGATTTGAATGCCCGCAACAAACGCCGGCAGACACCACTTCATATTGCTGTTAATAAAGGTCATCTTCAAGTAGTGAAGACTTTATTGGACTTTGGTTGTCATCCCAGTCTCCAGGTAAAATCTTTATGTATATTTTGCAAGTATTGCTAGGTTCCCATTAAAGGGGAGCACTAAGGTCTATCCTAAGCACACCAAAGATAAAGAAAGTTACAAAATTGGCAGCTCTTCCTTCTTAGAAAACCTTCTTTTTTCTAGAAACTGTCAGTAGATTTGGTTCAGAGTAGGGGGTGGAGTGCCATGGAAGTGGGGTTTCCTGTCAAAAATACTAGTTTATAAATGCATTTGATTTAACCCTATTGATCATGACAGTGAGTTTTGGCAGCTTAAAGAAGTGTAACAGACTGTATTTCATAAAAGTTACTTCATAGCTATCTAAATTATTTTAATCATAGCTTAATGTTTCTTTGGGTCTTGGTCTAGTCCTCAGTCTTGGTAGCTTTTCTGGTTTGGCAAATATATAGGGTTTTAGAGTGATTTACAATAGGACATAATTTTTGAAACAAAGATCATCACATAAAAATTCTCAGAGTCTTCTTAACCACTGTGTTAGCCACCAGATGAGTTAAGCCATTTATTTAAGGGAAGTGTAATCTGTGTCCATCATTTATAGTTTGGTTACTAAACAGCTTGTCTTTTGTCTACCTGTCAAAACTCAAAATTGGTATGGATATGTAATGATTTCATAGCAAAATAAAATAGCACAAGAACATAATTTGCTAACTTTCAGGTTCTATTTTTAGACTGTTATCTATTATGATCATCTTTAACAGAATAGGCTTGAAATAGCATGTTATTTTTAAATAAAAACATTACCTGAAACACTGTTCGAATATTTAAAAAATACATTGTATAAAAGAGAAAGCTAATGATTAAAACAAAAAGTGGATTAGAACTTTAAGCCGCCTGTAGTTTGGATAATTCATAGTAACCAAGAATTGGATTGGATAGATCTCAGAGATATAACAAAAAAATAACAAGATAATAAGAGTGAGGGTTTGAGAAGAACTGTAAGAATAGATTTTGCTAAGCTGGATAATTATTAGGAACCAATGTTTCTCACGTATAACCATTCTGGAACTGACAGGGTCTAGTGTATGACATTATTAATGAGTGTCAGGCTTGGAGAATGGGAGAATTGGGGTATTAATCTGTCAATGGAGAGGGAATTTATACCTTTTGATCTTTTTGTCTGAAATGAGAGTCAAGGTTATGTGTTGAGAGTGTAGAATGATTGAGAAGAATGAGAAAGGTTTGGAATAACTACTGTGAGGACCCGAGGCACAACAGACCAGGAACCTGTAGAAGGGTATTCCAGTAATGTCAAGAGCCCCTCTCAAGGTGAACATACACTTTTTTTTGGTTGTTTTGTTTTAAAAACATATTTATTTATTTGAAAGGCAGAATTGTAGAGAGAAAGGGAGAAATAGATCTTAACATGCCCTGGTTCACTCCCCAAGTGGCCACAATGGCTAGAGTTGGGCTAGACTGAAACCAGAAGTCTGAAGTTTCTTCTAGTTCTCCCACATGGATGGCATGGGCCCACACACTTTGGCCATCTTCTGCTTTTCCAGGTTCATTAGCAGGGAGCTGGATTTGTTGTGGCACAGCCAGAATTCATGTGGGATACTGGAGCCACAGGTGGTAACTTAACTTGCTGTGCCACAACACCAGCCCCAAAGATAAAAGTTTTTAATGCTGTAAGATTAACAGGAATTTGGAAGGTGGATGATTGGGTTGCATTGAGGTTAAGAATTCCTTCTGTTGGTGAATGAATATATGCCTATGATTGGCATACATTTTCTGTAACAAGACAATATTGTAAATTTTCATATATCACAACTGTCCAGCTCTGCCTTTATAGAGTGAACCAGCCATAGATAGTACATAAATGAATGGTGTGTCTGTGTTCCACTGAAAACTTAATTTACAAAAACAGGTGGCAAACTGATCTGGCAAGTGTGCTATATGCCTCAGGACAGGCTATCTCAGACTTTACTGACAGTAACATCTACGAAACTATGAATTCAGTGAAGTCTAAATTACTCATTTATGCAAATGGCTGGTGAGTAGGTAAATCAATTGTTAATGTAAAAAATAGCTTCAAAAAAAGTAGTCTGAAAATACTAAATTTTCACTTCAGTTTGTTTTTACTTTGATCTAATTAGCCACTTTTCTGCTCTTTGAAAACATATAGGTTGATGGTTCTCTAACTTTGTAATATATTCATCTGGGGAGCTCTGAAATACTATTGGTACTTGGCTCTCACCTCTAGAAATTTAGTCGATCTGGAGAACAGCCTGAGCATAAGGACTTTTAAGAGCTCCCCAATGGAGTCTAATGTACAGCTAAGTTGAAAATCACTTTTAATTTATTGTTGTTATGGGGCCTGAGCCTGGTGTAGGTTTGGATGGAATTTCAGGGTACAATCATTAGTGGTAGAAATAAGGTGTAGCAAGCCATTTAAAATTTATTACATCTTTTTGGCAGCTTTTTCACCTTATTAATTTTTTTAGGTGAATTATATTTCAAGTTAACATTTATTTTCTTATTTGGAAAACTACAACGTGTTTATTGTGTTTTCCATCTAGATTTGAGTATGCCTATTTAATGTGGCTAGTGTGTCTTACCTGCATTTTCTTAGGAAGGGTTTTAACAACTTTATGGAAAGCATATTATGAAAAAGCCATGCATGGATTTCAGAATTCCTTGTGCCCAAATAAACTTATGTTTTAGTTCCCTTTTTCTGTGAACTTTTTGAATTAATGCTCCTATTTAATCCAGAGCATGATCTTTTTTTAATTATTGTTGGATTTGGCCTCTGTTTACTTTTTTCTGTTGAGTAATTCAGTTTTGCTATGAGATGTGGTGATTAGTTTAAGAAGAACTAATGAATATCTCTTTAAACTTAACAACAACAAAAAAGGATTCTGAAGGTGATACCCCTCTCCATGATGCAATAAGTAAGAAACGTGATGATATCCTGGCAGTTCTTTTGGAAGCTGGAGCAGATGTTACCATTACAAACAATAATGGATTTAATGCTCTACACCATGCTGCTCTAAGAGGAAATCCCAGGTAAAGAGGTCATCTTTTGCTATTTTTTGTGTACTTTAAAAATATTTTCCTATTACTGGTTCTCTTTTTTGCTGAAACAGGTGAGGAAGTGATTTTAGTTTATTTTAATATTTTAAGCCATTTTAAACATTTGTGGACATTATACCTTCATTTAGTGGATTAGTTTTATATGAGAGTTTTGAGAGTTGTTAAAGTAATACAAGTATTATAAAATGATTACTTAAATGTTAAATGTAGATACAAATCTTTAAAGGTTTAATTAAAATGCATTCCGTTTGGAGATTGATGTTTCTTCAAGCTCATTCTCAAGATGTCCTCCTATGTTATACATCTTCATGGTAATTACTTTTAAAACTTGTTACTAAATAAATACTGTTACCTAGTTCATTATTAATTCTGTAATTAGTTATGTAAACTCCTAGTGTAGATGTCCTCCAATCATTGTCAAAATAATAGGTGTTCCACTGAAAAATGTGTTTGCTGATTAAAGTTTGAGAACTTTTAGAGAGTCACATTATTCATAGATGGTCTCCAGAGGCCCACAAAAAAAGGAAAATGCTTAGCTTTGCTTAACCTAGAGATTTCTGTATACTCATTTTTTTGGAACAAATATTCAATCACACTTACATATCTGAGGGAAATGTTCACTTTGATGTTTGTTTATTTTTTAACGATTTATTTATGTGAAAAACAGAACGACAGAGAGAAGAAGAGACAGGGAAAGAGAGCTCTTACTTCTCATTCAGCTATAAATGGCTGCAACAGCAGAGGTTGGGCCAGGCTGAACTATGAGGTGGGAACTCCATTTGGTCTCCTAGATGGGTGACAGAGGTCCAAGAATTTGGACAATCTTCAGCTGCTTTCCCAGGTCCATTATCAGAAGCTGGATTAGAAGCAGAGCAGCTGGTACTTACCAGACATTCTGAAACAGGACGCCAGCATCACAAGCAGTGGTTTAACCTGCTATGCTACAATGCTGGCCCCAATTTTGATGTTTGTTTTGATAGTTGTTATCTATCCTGATCTCTTATTACTTATGTTGTTTCCTTTTTTTTTTAAGTGTCAGAATCACCACTAGAGGGCAATCAGAGAAAAACAAAGATGTTATCACTGTTGCTTGTTAGTACCCATAGCAGTGGGCATATAAAAATAGAATACCATGTATGGCCTTATTTAAGATCATGTCTTGATTTTGTTTTTCAAGTTAAAAATATTTGAATATTTCATACTTTTATATTGTGAAGGAGATGGAATAGTATTACATGTTCCATGCCTTTCAAACAGTGATAAGGTTAGCCCATACCACATGCCATGCCTCTACTTAGTGTTTTCTGCATGCATTACCTCATTCACTCCTTTCTGCAGTTCTGTGAGGCAAGTGTTAATATACTCATTTCATAGATGAAGAATATGAGGCTTATAGTAATGAATTTATTTGTTCAAGACCACATATTTGATTAGTGGAGCAGCCAGATTTTTTTTTTTTTTTTTTTTGACAAGCAGAGTGGACAGAGAGAGAGACAGAGAGAAAGGTCTTCCTTTGCCATTGGTTCACCCTCCAATGGCTGCCGCGGCCAGTGTGCTGCGGCTGGCACACCACGCTGATCCAATGGCAGGAGCCAGGTACTTATTCTGGTCTCCCATGGGGTGCAGGGCCCAAGCACTTGGGCCATCCTCCTCTGCCTTCCCGGGCCACAGCAGAGAGCTGGCCTGGAAGAGGGGCAGTGGGACAGAATCTGGCGCCCCGACCGGGACTAGAACCTGGTGTGCCGGCGCCACAAGGCGGGGGATTAGCCTAGTGAGCTGCGGCGCCGTCCCGAACAGCCAGAATTTTAAAAAGGGCTGTATGATTTTAGAATCATAACTGTCAAACCACTTTATACTGCTTTTTCCTGTGTGGTCTCTTTGTGAGCTAAATCATGTATGTGGACAGAGAGTGATTTAATCAAGAGTGATTATTAGTGCATCATTCCCCTTGCTGCTTCATTGATAGAGCTATCTCTCTCTAGTTCTCAACTTGCAGTTAGTTCAAAGCTTCTATTCTACCAGTTTTTCTAGTTCGCTCCATTATCCCTACTCCCAGTGTTACTGACCCACCACTTTTGCCTGGACTATTATAGTTGTTTTTTTTTTTTTTTTTAAGATTTATTTATTTATTTGAAAGAGTTACAGAGAGAGAGGAAAAGGCAGAAAGAGAGAGAGAGATCTTCCATCTGATGGTTCATTCTGCAAATGGCAGCAACGCCCAGGGCTGGGCCAGGCCGAAACTAAGAGCCAGGAACTTCTTCCGGGTCTGCCATGTGGATGCAGGGGCCCAGCTACTTGAGTCATCTGCTGCTGCTTTTCCATGTATGTTAGCAGGGAGCTGGATCAAAAGTGGAGCAGCCAGGACTCAAGTTGGTGCCTATATGGGATGCCAGTGTTGCAAGCATTAGTTTAACCCACTATGCCAAAATGCCAGCCCCTAAGTTACACTTTTAAATCATGATGTTTAAGATAAACTAGAAATTGAGGTATTTTGGTACAGTTATCTTTAATGTTTTGGATTGTTGCATTTTTACTGGGAGTAGACATGGTATATTCAATAATTCTAAGGCTACTCAGGAGGAGAAAAATTGCTTCTTCTGTTTCTTTAATTTTTTATAAATCTTGAGGAAGCTTCTGAAAATCTCAGAGCAAATGGGATTTATTCCTGGTGTGCAGGGATGGTTCAACATATGCAAGTCAATAAATGATGCATCATATTAATAAAGTGAAGAATAAAAACCATATGATTATCTCAATAAATGCAGAGAAAGCATTTGATAAAATATAACATCTTTTCATGATAAAAACCTTGAGCAAATTTGGTATAGAAGGAACATACCTCAACACAATCAAGGCAATATATGACAGATCCACAGTCAGTATCATATTGAATGGGTAAAAACTGGAAGCATTTGCACTAAGATCCAGAACCAGACAAGGATGCTCACTCTCATCATTACAGTTCAGTATAGTTCTGGAAGTCTTAGCCAGAGCCATTAGAGAAGAAAAAGAACTAAAAAGGATACAAATGGGAAAGGGGGAAGCCATATTATTCTGTATGTAGATGACATGATCCTGTACATAGGGGAACTAAAGGGTACACTAAGAGATTATTAGAACTTATAAGAGAGTTTGGCAAAGTTGCAAGATATAAAATCAGCACTCAAAAATCAGTAACCTTTGTATACACAAACAATGCCGTGGCTGAGAAAGAACTTATAAGATCAGTCCCATTCATAGTAACTACAAAAAAAATTGAATACCTTGGGATAAATTTAATGAAGGATATGAAAGATCTCTACAGTGAAAATTACAAAATTTTAAGGGAAAAAAAGACACCAAAAAATGAAAAATCTTCCATATTCTTGGATTGGAAGAATTAATATCAAAATGTTCATACAACCCAAAGCAATTTACAGATTCAGTGCAATCCCAATCAAAACACCAAAGACGTTCTTCTCAGATCTGGAAAAAATGACCCTAAAATTCATCTGGAATCACAAGAGACCCTGCATAGCTAAAGCAATCCAAAACAATAAAAATAAAGCTGGAAGCATCAGAATACCTGATTTCAACACATATTGCAGGGAGCTGGAGCTGTGGCGTAGTAAGTTAAAACTTTGCCTGTAGCACCAGCATCCCATATGGGCACCAGTTGTGTCCTAGCTGCTGCTCTTCCAATCCAGCTCTCTACTAATAGCCTGGGAAGGCAGTGGATGATGGCCCAAGTGCTTGGGCCCCTGCACCCATGTGGGAGACCCAGAAGAGGCTCCTGGCTCCTGGCTTCAGACTGGCCCAGCTCTGGCTGTTGCGGCCATTTGGGGATTGAATCAGTGAATGGAAGACCTCTCTCTCCCTCTGTCTCTCCTTCTCTCTGTATCTCTGTTTCTCAGATAAATAAATAAATAAATCTTAACAAAATATTACAGGGAAGTTATAATCAAAACAGCTTGGTACTGGCACAAGAATTGACTCATTGACCAGTGTAGCAGACTAGAGATCCCAGAAATCAATCCATGCATCTGCAACCAACTAATATTTCACCCATAGGCCATAATCAGTCTCTGCAGAAAGAACAGTCTCTTCAACAAATGGTGTTGAGAAAATTGGATCTCTGCATACAGAAGTACTAAACAAGATCCCTACCTTAAACCCTGTTCAAAAATCAAGTCACAATGGAGCAGGGATCTAAATCTGAGACCTGAAGCCATCAAACTACTAGAGGGAAATACTGCAAGACATTTGCATGGAGAGATTTCTTGGATAAAACCCTAGCAGCACAGGCAATTAAAACAAAAATAGACAAATGGGATTACATCAAGCTAAGAAGCTTCTTCACAGCAAAGGAAACACTCAGCAAAGTAAAGAGGCAGTCTACAGGATGAGAGAAAATATTTGCAAATTATACAGCTGTAAAAAGATTAATATCCAGAATATATAAGGAGCTCAGGAAACTCAGTAACAGCAAAACAAGCAGTCCAGTTAAGAAATGGGCAAAGGATATGATCAGGAATTTTTCAAAGTATGAAATATGGGCCGGCGCTGTGGCTCACTTGGCTAATCCTCTGCCTGTGGCGTTGGCACTCCGGGTTCTAGTCCCAGTTGGGGCATCGGGGTCTGTCCCGGTTGCTCCTTTTCCATTCCAGCTCTCTGCTGTGGCCCGGGAAGGCAGTGGAGGATCGCCCAAGTGCTTGGGCCCTGCACCTGCGTTGAAGACCAGGAAGAAGCATCTGGCTCCTGGCTTCGGATCGGTGCAGCGCCGGCCGTAGTGGCCATTTGGGGGGTGAACCAATGGAAGGAAGACCTTTCTCTCTCTCTCTCTCTCTCTCTCTCTCTCACTGTCTAACTCTGCCTGTCCAAAAAAAAAAAAAAAAAAAAAAAAAAAAAAAAGTGGCCAACAGACACATGGAAAGATGCTCAGCATCACTAGACATCAAGGAAATACAGATAAAAACCACAATGAGATTTCACCTCTCACCAGTTAGAATGCCTGTCATCCAAAAATCAAAAAATAACAAATTCTGGCAAGGATATGGGGGAAAAGGTACCCTAATACACAGTTGGTGTGAATGTAAACTAGTACAACTATCATGGAAGACAGTATGGAGATTCCTAAGAAATCTGAATGTAGACCTACCATATGATTCAGCCATTCCACTCTTGGGAATTTACCCAAAGGAAATGAAATCAGCACATGAAAGGGTTTTCTGTACCCCCCCGCCCCCAACATTTATAGCAGCTTTAATTCACAATGGCTAAGATGTGAAACCAACCCAGATGTCCATCAACTGATGACTTGATATGGTATATATACATGATGGAGTACTACTCAGCCATAAAAAGGAATGAAATCTTCCTGTCTTTCAAAAAAATGGACACAACTGGAGACCATTATGCTTAGTGAAATAAGCCAGTCCCCAAAAGACAGATATCATATATTTCCCCTGTTTGTAGTAACTAATACATAGAGTACAAAAAAAAGGTAATGGATTTGAGAAAAATTGACATTTTGAGATTTGGTCATTGTTTATAGCCCTTGTTTATACTCTTGATGACCAGTGATTTTTCTGCTATTACTTGTTGAATTCTTTATTTAGTGGGTTAAGCTTGTTATTATAAAGAAAATTGAAAGTTAGGTCATTGTAAAAACTAAAAGAAAAATAAGAAGGGGAAAAAGTAGGAATAAGAGAGGGAGGGTAGGGTTGGAAGTATCCTTATACTCTTAAATACATGAAATTTGTTCCCTTTTTATTACTAAAAATAAAATAAATAAGACTTTTTAAAACTCTTGAAATAAGAAAGAAAATCTATAATAGTGACTCCTCCAACCAGGTAATTGGTATTACCTGACATTAGTAAAAAAGGGAAAAATGCCTGTATTCTACAACAAAGTAGTATATCATTTAAGCTATATGAGTTCTTTATACCTAATTCCTTAAGATATATTAGGTAGTTGGGATTAAAGATTGGTAGATTGTGTGATTTTAATTGGGAGGCTATTAGAAGAGGATACAATTTCTCTTATCAATTATAATTGAAAGTTGTGGTCCTTTGAGTTCTTTTTTCCTTCCAAATCTTTCATTCTTAGAGTTCACTTTCCTTTACTGACCAGTGATGTCAAAAGATAAAAGTAGCCATTTTTAGTGCCCTAGAATTAGAAAAACAGTAAATCACTTCAGCCTTCATACTTACTTAAAAAAAAAAAAAAAAAAAAAAACCAGACTTAAGGAAATATTATTTCCAGAACCTGATGAGCTTACCACTTTTGGATAAAATATAAAATATGATTAACAGATATAGCAGTGTTTTCCCATTTCTCAGTTTATATATCTTAATAACTCCTTTACCTTAAATTGTAACATTTCAGCTTGTTCTTGTGATCTGTGTTTTATGCCCCAGTTATCGTTATTTAGTATAATTACTCTGTTTGGCTTCATGTGTAGTCGATTTTAATTTAAATTGATTGCACTTTAATTAATGTAATTCTTACCTACTTTTGAAGTTACTTCTTTTATTAGAATGTATATATATATATTTCTGTAACAAATTATTGGGAATATATTCTAATGCCATCACAAATACTTATTTAAAATTATTTCCATGTATTTTATTTTAAAATATGGAAAAGTTTCCAAAATTTGTATGTACATGTTATAAATGTAGAAATTTAAGTACCATCGTAGTTCCTGGCCTTGCTTTTAGTTAGCAATAATAGTTTTTCAGCAATGGATCAATAACACAGTAGAATTAATAATTACTGAATGTGTTCTGCTAAAAGAAAAAATGATTTTTTCCAGTCTTCAAAATATGTCTTGATGGCCTATATTTTTTTAAGAATGAACTTTGAAATCTTGATTTCAAATGTCCAGATCAGCACAGATTCTAGATTTCAAAGCTGATCTTGACGTTTCCTCATAGTATGACAGTAATTGAGACAAAGAGAAAAAGAGTTGCAAAGCTGTTTGCTTTATTGCAGAATATAAAATTTCATGATGTGGTCCTGGCTTCATAAAGTTCTTAGTATTACAAAATAGCGGTTACTACATGCTTCAATGTATAGTTCTTTTGTTTTTAAGACATTTTAACTAGGAATGGTATTGTTGATATATTCTTATGTTTGATATTTATTGGCATGTTTTCCTCTGTAGTTTAGCCATATCATCTTCACTTTTTGTATGTAGGTAAAATTTCAGGTTTATTTCAAGAGGAGAGATTATTTCGTCTGATAAAAATGAAAGCAAATTTTTTTTTGGATTAGCATTAATCAGCATGTTACTTATGTACTATCTCTGTGAGGACCCTGTATTTTAGCTGCCTTTAAGTTTTTAGAGTTTCCTCATAGGCATGAAAATAATTCACTCAGCAGTTCTCTGCAGAGCTAGCAAATTCAATTGGTAGGTTTTTTGAGGGTACTGATTGCCACATTATAAAGTTACTTTATATAGCATTACTTATGCATTTTTCTTTAATACAAACTGAATATGAGGAGTGACAGTAAGATATAAGTGAACCCCGTGATGTGATGTAGTTGTTCTGTTTTCAGGTTATTAGATAACTTCATCTATTTACTTATTTATTTATTCTTAGAAAGACACATGGTAACCTTAAGGAATATGTAAGTAACTCATAGTTTTCCCTCAAGAATGTTATGATACCTTCAGCTTTTTAAATTCTGAAATTTTCATATGGTCTGGTAAATGAGACTGTGTTGGATACAGAAATATTTGATCATCTGGACTATATCTTGTTTAATGTTTTTCTTTCCCCGTAACTCTGAACATGCTGAATGGATATACACAAAAAATAGCTGAAAGTCTATTAAATGGTAGTGGATTTATAATATGTCCATTTTCTCTAAAATGTGCTTATACATCTACTGTCAAATATTATGTGCCTTGTAACACATAAGTGTATTTAATGTGACTGACTGAGGTGTAATTAAGAAGTACAAGACTGTTTTTTGAGTGAAGTGATAAGATTTATTTACACATGATACCTCCTTTTGCCCACAGTCTTTAAGTGGGTGATTTCATTTTGAAATAGAGCAATGGTCAGGAGTTGAGAATTGCCTTCAGTAACCCTTCATTAATTGCTGAAATATTTGCCTCTCTTTTAAAAAAGACATTAAATTATTTATAATTTTATTGAAGTCATTATGAAGATTAGATGGATATCAGATCACTTGTCATTTTCCCCTTGCTTGAGTTTGTCTCCACTGAGAGGGAGAGGGAGAGGGAAAAAGTGAGAGTGAGAGAGAATTTTATGTATATGTATTTGTAAAGGACAAAGAATACAAGAGTGAAGAGATTGATTAGAATGTAAATATTAGAGGAGATCTTCATTTTACAGCTGAGGAAACAGAATGGAGTGGTGAAGTAGCTTCATGAGAAAAGAGAGTAAAAATGCTTATAGCATTTTTTTCTTCCTTTCGTGAGGATTAAATGCCTTGGGTTCTAGGTCAGAGGATTAAGTAATTACTACACAAGACATTCTATATTATCTCCTTTTTCTCCTTACCTGATAACATTAATGTAAATAGCGGTAAAATTAAGGACTAATTATATGAGAGATGGTGATGTGACATTTCTAGAGTATTGTTTTATGTAATGCTACAGCTTTCTAAAACCTGAAATATGTGTGTATCCATGTGACTCCCACAGTGTCATTCTCAAAATGTTTTCAGGTAGGTTTTAGGTGGAATTTCCAGTTATTTTCTTCTTTTGAAGGAAGGTTATTTATTAATTTATTATGATGAAGTACAGCCTACATTATTATCATTTTATTTCTGAAAGATAAGAAATGTAATACCAAGAGACAATAAGTCAGCAAAATTATTTTATTTGAAACCCTTAAGTCTTACACACATGGTTCATAAAGCTTTTTGTAAACAACTTTAACCCCTAGAACTCTTCTAAGTAGAATAATAACAAATTATTTTATGTTAACCACATTCTGAATAATTTAAGTAAGTTGAAATTAGTTGATATGTGATTGACATTCATGAATGAAAATGTTGGCTGTCCTGTAGTAATCAATGCATAGCTACAGCTGGTTGAAGGGGACCAAATCCATTGAAGAGGCGATTTGGTTCCATTTTACCAGCTCTAGCAAAGCATTGTAGTGCTGTTAGTTTGGAATCCAAAACAGTTAAATGCTTTTCATTTGTGAAATTATAGTTCTGGACCTTAGAAATTCTTGCTACCAGTGCTTCAGTCAATGAATGTGAAATTTCTGTTTTGAAGGCACTTTTCCTATGATTTCCTATTCTTTGGGTTCAGAAGTCTTCCTTTTAACATGTTGTTAAAGCATTAAGGAATTATCATTGTACATCTTTATTTTCAACATCTTTGCTAATTCTTAAGTGTAGACAATAACTTTTTGTAAAACCAACAGTATTTAGAAGAACAAATAGACCTTATGTATTTCAGAGTAATGTTTTCTATTACTAGGCAGCAAACCAGATGACTTCAGTGGTTAAGCTAATGGGTTGATGAAGAGTACTGCTAATAACACATTTCTACCACCATTGCTTTTTGTGTGTGTGTGTGTTATAGTTGAGGATGAATAGCAAGTTGTTGACATGGGGTGGAGGAATATAAGTGGCCTTAAGAAAGTACCACTGCCCTTTGCTTTATAAATAGTTCACATGTGTATTCAGTGAATTGCTTGGACTTGTGTTGAAATGAACTGTGCTTGCCTTGTTGTTTTTCTTTGTTTTTGCTATGGAAGGCTATAAGTCTTTGGTCTATTAAGACCTTCTAAAGGTCTGTTTCTTTGACTAAATCCTCTGTAGTTTCGGGTGCAGTTTCTCTAGTTATTTTTCATTAACAATTTAATAAAACTGATTTGTGATGGTTACTTATAATCCATAAATCTGAGTATTAAAATCTACCATATGACTAATACTTTAAAAATCTGTACAGATTTTCCTGATCTGTATCTATTGATTTCAGTATCAGGGAAGGGATGTCTTCTGAAATACTTGTATAAAAAGTTTGTTTGTCTTAAGGTATGTCCTTACAGTAAAATATAAAGAGTAATGAAATATGCTTCTTCTTACTATTTGGAATTAAACTGGGTCAACACTAATTCAGGCAATATGGAAACTTTTCTTAATTCAGTACATTCTGCATCTGTTGGTTAGTAAGTATCATGCTCTTGGTAAAATTAATGTAACTGCAATTCTTTCTGTCATTTATTCTAATAGAAGTGAAACAGGTGTTAAATGGCCTGAACTTAAGTACTGAAGATAGCAACAACACTGGCTTCTATTTTTACTAGTTATATGGAAGCTGTTTAGCAGATCCAGTTGCTCAAGTGTGCTTTTGGATGGCAGTTCAGTTTCATTTACTGGCCATATCAGGGCAAGGAGAGGCCATGGTGAAAAAAATAGTACAGCATTTGATAATGTCAGCATCTGTTATCCCTGTCAGGGAGACAGTTGAAATGTTTGAGTTACACCAGTGTCAGCAGATGCCCAGAGTTTAACATGTACTCAGTTAAAAATGAACAGCTGATCTAAGTGATGGATGTGACATTTTAGAGTGATTGAAAATGCTCTTAGATACGTTAAGTTACACTTGTAAGCATGAGACTTACTGTGTAATTTTACTTTTTAAATGAATAGCCTGCTATTTTATTTTGTTAGGATTATATACTCTTAATATAACAAGAAGATTCTTAATCATGCACTTTTTATACTTTCCAGTAAACATGCAGCGACATACATCTATCCTTGTAATCTGCTGATAAAATAAAAATAAACATCTTTCTATAACTGTCTTATTAAAAAATTATAGTTAAACTAAGTCGCCTATATTTCGATTTCTAACATAAGAAATTTAAAATATTATGTTTTCTTTATGTGTATAAATATTCCAGTTGAAATAACTTTTAGTAAGAAAAGGTTAGTATGTATGAATTTTTTTCCTTTGTTTCTCTAACTTTGTCATGTTTTAATTGCTTAAAAGCAGTATCACTTATTATTGCTATGAGTTTAATTATTTGTGATTTTAATAAATATGCAAAGTAAACCACATAAAATAGAAAACATATTTTGGAATCTTTAACAGGCTGTATATAGTGATCTGTTATGTTTATTAAAAATGAATTATTGCATAGTACCAATAAAAGTGGTTACTCTATCTGTATAAATTAGTTCTTTACTACAGTGTTTTGATCTTACTTGATCCGTTTGGAAAAAGAAAATTCAAAGATAATATAGATAATAAGATAACTCTTTCTAAATATTTGACAATTTTTTACCAATATACCCTATTAACTTATAACTGTGTTCCAGAATTTTGTCATTTTTCCTGTTTAAAAGTTTTAATTAATTTTAAGTATTAACAGCATTTAAAGCAAAGATTGGATTAAGAATCTGATAAACCTGAGAACAAGGGCCACTTTTATTTTTTATGTACAATTACTTAAAAGATAGTCTTTTTGGATGTTGAATATGTCTGTAGGTGTCCAGTTACAAAACCTAAAACACCAAAAATTTTGCTTTAGGAAATTCTCTAATATGAATAGATGACAAATATATAAAAATCTGAAAAATATTTGTTAAAATGTGAGTGAAGTCAGCTTTTGTTGTATATTAATTTTCATAACAAATCAGTCAGCCCTCTGAATGTGATAAATTAACATCAAATTGTGGAGACAGAAAATAGGTCATGTGTTTTCCCTTATTCTGTTGTATTAGTATTCTGTTGTATTAGTAATACTAGTTCCCTTTTGTAGTCAGACGTTGTCATGTAAGTGTTTAATTTAAAAATCTAAAATGAAGAATGTTTTAAAGTTAAGCGTTTTGAGAGGAGTTCCATGAGAATTTGAAATCTACCAAAGTAAAATTTTTCCTTCACAAAATATTAACTCTTAGGTATAGTTAGTTTCCATCTCTCTGTAGTAGGTACATTTGTTTTTGGTGTTAGTATTGCCAAAGGTCATTTATTTGATAGTAGGTTAATTTACCATATGAAGGTCATTCATGTAGAAAGAAGCAGTGGCTTCTTTTAGCTGCAGTTTAGTTCTCTCTTGATGCTTTATTACCTACCAAAAATACATACTTCTTTACATTCCATAGCATTGTATGTTCATATGGGTACATAAAGAAGTATGTACTCTGAGTAGGTATTACTAAGTTGTTAGCTGTAAAAACAAAGTATTTTATTTTCTCATTTGTTAGTAAAACATTCAGCTTACTGATGTAGATCACTGGTAGATCATTTGTAGAGACCAATTTATCAAAGACTAAACTTTATAAAAAATTTACCTGGTCATGGCATTGATACCATTTATGGTTCCTTGTTCTCGGTGACATAGACATTCTTACACATTTGACCAGTTATCTGTTGAACTTTGTCCTGATTTGGTTCTTTTTGCAAGAGATTCATAGAATTAGTGGAGTTTTTCAGAAATTGCTAAGATCAGCGTGGTATTTCTTCATAGTCTTCAGAACAAGTTTCTTCTTTTCTTTTGGGGGAGGGGTAGGGGAGAGTTTGCTTCTAGGGCCTACAAGTAGATAGTAATTAATTCAGTTCAGATTCTTTTTATAAAGTATGTATCTTATTCAAAACTTAATTATAACCAACATATACCTCTGGTATTGACTCTAACATTGAAATAATGAGGTTAAAAAAATCTTTTCAGAGTGTAGAGGAGTGAATTTTTAGAGATGGTGATTTTTTGCTAGGTTTTAAAAAAAGTCATAGATGAGAAATCATGATCATTTGAAAACTTCTTTTTTGTGCCCTTGTCTTTATTAGTTACCTGAATTTTGCAATTTGGTGTTTCTGCTTGGGTTGAATACAAATTTTAAAAGATGCTTAAATACCTAATTTTGATTAGTTATTTTGATTTTTCAAGAAGTTTAATATAAAGGATAACTTACCAGAACAGCCAACTTTTCCAAAGTCTCAAAAGAACTGACAGATTTTAGCCTCGGAGCACCTAGGTTTTAGCTTGATTATTTAGCATGTGAAGAAATTATACTTGGTGATGATATTAAAAGGTTAATTTAAAAGAAAACCTCAAGAATTTTTCAGATTTGACCAAGGAGATTTAAAAAGGGCAAAGGTAGTAGAATTTCTGCAGCCTGTGACAAAAGGCTGGTGCAGCTTGTAGAGAACAAATCAAAAGGTAGCAGTAGATAACCCAGTACTCTGACAGTTTCAGCAATGCAGCATTAGAATTACACTTTGCACATTCTGATTTTTTTGTGTGACCAATTAATAGCTAGCATTAAAAATGATCTACCAACTTTCTTGGTTGACTAAACCTTGAAATAGGCATTTAATCATTTTTAAAAGGTAGTCTATTTTGGAAGCAGGATGTGATTTACCCGGATTGCAAATTATCATTTAATCTGAAACAGTAAAAACTAAATCTTTAATAATGTCAATGATAGTAATGGATTTGCACATTTTTTACATCGAGTTATCTGCCATGATATTTGGACATTTCTTTTTACACTACCTAAGCTCTTAAGTTGAACTGTGAAATTAGGCTATGCCCAGGTAGAATTTAGTTTAATGATAAGAACATGTTTCAAGTCAGTAATAAGTAAGCATGCAGAAAGTCATAAGCGTCCTTAAAAGTATAGGCCTTGTGCTCTGTTACCTGTAAGCCTAGTGTTGTGCAGCATTTGCAGCAGGAAGAGAGGCAATGACCTACAGAGTCACAGCAGCCGCAGCCATCTCATCTTGTTCCTCACTCGATTCGCTGATTCAGCACTTCTTTTCATGAGCTCGGTGAAGTTAAGGGGATGTATCAGTGAATACAGAGCCTCACCTTTTAAGATAAATTTGAAAAACAAACGAGGAAACCTAATTTTTCCTTTCCCTCACCTTCCCCTTAAAAAACAAAAACAAGCTCCTGTACTGTTGAATCAGCTTAGGCCATTTGATTTGGAATGTCATTTACCAGTATTGCACATAAATGTAGAGAAAGTTAAGCAACCAAGAAAGGTTGCTACAATGACCACGAAAATAAATCTAGCTTATTTGTCAGATGAAATGCTTCAGAAGAGGGGAAAAAGTTGCAGAGGAAGTTAATTTTACAGTCTTCAAAAAAAGACAACAAAATACCTCCCCCACCCCCCTCAAGTTACTGTAAACATGCCCCCTGTTTTCGTTTGCCCACCAGAATACATTTGGGTTCTTCTCACTTCTCAGGAAATATTCTGCATCTTTCTTGCTTTGAGATTTTTTTGTTTTTGTTTTTAGTTTCCAGGATTAAATGGTAGAACAGTAGTGAAGCTACCTTGTCATATCCAGAGGTCAAGTCTGCAAGCGAGGTCAGGACTTCCACATGGTCACTACAGAGACCAACTTATATTCTTCCCTCAGTGACCACAGGCTAAACTGTTACAGCTTTATAGGCAGCTAAGCATTTGAAACATGCACTCCCAGGCAAACAGGCTCTCTTGTGCCTCTCTCTTCCCTGACCATATTTAGTCAACCATAGCAAAAAATAGTCTCTCAGCTGTCGATTGTCGATCTAAAAGCTGAGGAAGCTTCTATCTTGCTTTCTGCCTATTGATTGTTCATCCTGCAGTCCAAACACTGCTTTGCCATTTGTCCTGCCTTTTTTTTTTTTTTTTTTTTTTTTTTGAGGACTGCCAAATAAAGCGGTCTCTCATGTTTCCACTTACATTTCCCAGATTTTCACTGGGCTTGCGCTGAGACGAGGAAAGCCTGATGCAGCTGTCACTATACTTAGAAGCACTGCAGAGAAAAAAGGAAAGAGAGTGAAATTGTCCTGGCTAGTAACAAGATAATCTTTAGATAGATATGGAACGAGTAAAAATCCCCCTGCTGCCAAAATACATTTTAGAACCTGATTTTTGGTTGGTAAGAAGTGTTATGGAATGTGATACGTAACATAGCTGAAGGCCTGAGGGATTTTTATAGGGTGCTGTTACAGCTAGTTATTGTTGTAAATGCTTTTTAAAATTATTGAATGGTATTTGAATGGAAAATATGTAGAAATGATATGTTACCTGTATATTGATGGTGGAGAGGATTCACCAAGGAAGAAGAAAGTAGTGTGTAAACGTAATCTTGGAAATGCTACTTAAAACAATTTGATGTCAGTTTCGGTTAATTTTTTGTAGTGCATAGGTGAAAAACAGGGTTCAGAATATTTTTGAGTAGTTGAATGCCTTTTTTACTGAAGCTAATTATATGTTGTGTAGAAATATTAAGATATATTTTATTATGAATTCTATTTTATGTTCAAATGTGAAGAAATTTATTGTTTCCCTTCAGCATTGCCATGGCTCTCTGATTTTCTGAAGTGGCATTTAAAAGTGGTCATTGCATTCTTTGCCACAGACTAGAAGAATCACTAACCTTTCTATAACTTTGATAAGTAGTGTATGTCTCAAAGGGAAAGTATTCTTATTCTAAATTTTAATAGCATGTTCACAACAACTTTTAATATTAAAATTTTTTAACCATACAGAAAAAATACTAAAAATAAAAAAAATCTATGGAGGTATAATTTAAGATCTCACAAACCTAAAAATGCCCACAAGAAATCAACTATACCTTGATCTTAATTCAAATATATTATTTCATCTATTCATGAAGTTAAGAAACAAACAAAAAAACCATTATCAGTTTCCTGAGCTCATTCTCCTATAGGAAAAAATTGTCCTTGACTTTTTTTTAATGTTTAATACCCTATCAGTTTAATTATTTTGGATAGCTAGTTTAAAACAGTGACTTTAGGAATGCTTCTGTAGATATTTGGCAATTTTAAAGAGCCATCATTCCTAAATATTGAAAAATATTTACACACATTTTGAGAAATTGACACGTTTCAGGATGTAAAATAGGTTAATTTTCAGGTTTCTAAATTATCCTATTTTTGTTAACCATTTTGTTAATAGTGAGAGTTTTTGTTTGCTTGTGGTTTTTAGCAAGCACTCATACGATATATTACATACCAGGTACTTTATCCTATTTTTGCTAACCATTTTGTTAACAGTGAATTTTTTTTTTTTGTTAGCTTGTGGTTTTTAGCAAACACTCATATAATGTATTACATACCAGGCACTCTTGTAAGCCCTTTAAATATTAATGTCACTTAATTTTTACTCACCCCCATGTGAGGAAGGGAACTGAGGCATAGAAGTTAAGTAAACTACTCAAGTCACTGGTCATTTTGGCTAGGGTCAAAATTTGAGCTCAGGTACTTTGTGCCATGCTGCTGCTCTGATTTGCAATAATGAAATGAAGTAGGGAGTTACTACTCCTGGAGACTCAGCCAGACACAACAAGTAGACTATGTTGCTGTTCTTGCCTTAGTGTATTCAGAAAGATGATTGTTCATTCCTTCTATTCAACGAAAGATTCATTCCTTCTATTCAACAAAACTTTGAACTCTTTATGCCAGGTAGGCAAAGTATAATTTTTTGTACAAAATGTGTTCACCTTGTGTAATAACCTGCTTTTAGCATACCCCAGAGAACTTCTCTTGCTATTGGTGAACTTTCCTAATAATGTCCTTTATGGATTCTGGGCCAACCTGCTTTACCAATTGGAAGGGGGGAATTGTTCATTAATTTAGTGAACATTTATTGAATGTCTAGTATGTGTTACAGTGTTCTATTTTTTATTTTTTAAGCATTAAATAATACTAATAAGTAAGGCCTCTACAGTGTAGCTCCTGTGATTTGTTTGGAAAAAATTGCCTGTCTCTGAAGAAAGATTCCAAAGCACAGCAGGCCCTAAATATTGATCCAGTGCCATTTGAGTACTGCATACCAACGTGGACAGCTGCTTGTCCCCTCTACTTCTTAGAATTCATTTGTTCATCATTCAGCAAACGTTTGAGTAGTACCATGTGCCAGGGATTATGCTAGGCACCACTATTAGTTGTTCCAGAACTTAATGCTTCTTTGGCACGATTCACAAATGCCTGCTTAACTGGTAGTAAGACCTTATCTTTGAAACATCCATGTCCTTAGCCTCTTGAAAAACAACTAGATTGAGGAGTAAAGAGAATTATTTGAGCATTAGGGGGAAAGTCACCACATCTCTTATATTATGCTCCACAGGTGAGAATATGTTGGTTTAAAATTACTGATTTATTGAGCTAGAAGCAGCCTTTTCCCAGTAACTCTGTGGACCTCCAATCCTACAGCATGACAAGTCTTCTCTGAATTAACCACAGTGCTGTATGAGACAGCGTGTAGCCGGCCTTTAAGCTTATAGTGTATGTTCCTAAGATTGCCTATGCCAAGGAAAGGAAGGAGATAGGCTCATGGGAACTGCTGTCATTGACCATAGGGTAAGGGCATCTGTTTTGCTTAAGTTTCCATTAGTCCCCCTTGTTGGCTGGGCTTAGCGATGGGCAGGCTCTCTGTTTGCGGCCCTGTTCTACTTGTTTTTGTATAAAGTTTTTTGAGGGGTTGGCAGTTTCTTTTCTTATTTTTATTTTTTAAAGATTTATTTATTTATTTAAAAGTCAGAGCTATAGAGAGGCAAGGAGGGGAGGGTTTCCATCTGCTGGTTCACTCCCCAAATGGCTGCAATGGCCCAGCTGGGCCAATTTGAAGCCAGGAGCTTCTTCTGGGTCTCCCATGTGGGTACAGGGACCCAAGAACTTGAACCATCTTCTACTACCTTCCCAGACCACAGCAGAGAACTTGATCAGAAGTGGATCAACCGGGTCTTGAATCGATGCCCTTATAGGTTGCCAGCATTGCAGGCGTTGGCTTTACCCACTACGCCACAGCACTGGCCCCAACAATTTCTTTTTTTAAAATTAAAATTGTCACAGGTTATATTCTGGAGATACATATTTAAGATTTATTTATTATGGGGCCGGTGCTGTGGCACAGCGGGTTAATGCCCTGGCCTGAAGCGCCGGCATCCAATTTGGGTGCCAGTTCGAGACCCGGCTGCTCCACTTCGAATCCAGCTCTCTGTAATGGCCTGGGAAAGCAGTAGAAGATGGCCCAAGTCCTTGGGCCTCTGTACTCGCATGGGAGACCTGGAAGAAGCTCCTGGCTCCTAGATTCGGATTGGCACAGCTCTGACCGTTGCGGCCAATTGGGGAGTGAACCATCGGATGGAAGATGTCTCTCTCTTTATCTCTCTCTCTTTGCCTCTCCTCTCTTTCTGTATAACTCTGACTTTCAAATAAATAAATAAATCTTTAAAAAAAAAAAAAGATTTACTTATTATTTAAAGGCAGAGTTCCAGAGAGCTAGTTGACTCCTCAAATGGTCTCAACAGCCAGGGCTGGGCCAGTAGCCTGGATCTCCATTTGGGTTTCCTATGTGGGTGGCAGGGGTCCAAGTACCTGGGCCACCTTCTGCTGCTTTTCCAGGCCCATTAGCAGGGAGTGGGATTGGAAATGAAGCAATTGAGTCATAAAGGACTCAACTAATGCTCATACAAAGATGCCAGTGTTGCAGCCAGCTGCTTAACCTGTTTTGCCACAATGTCTGTTTTGGCAATTTCTAATTAATATAGCAAGCTATAGATCTTAAAAATTAATCTACCTTGAATTGCCATTGAAGAATTCCAAATAATTGTGGTGAAGCTCTATCCTCAAAGAGGAGTATTTTTTTACTCCTTAAGTCTGGGCTGTGCAAAATGACTTCCAAAGAGCCTAGTATAGAGAAGAGGGCTGGGGAGTAACTTGACAGTGCAGCAGCCTGAAAGCCACCACTGCCTCAGCCAAGAGTTAGAAGCCATGCAATGGTCTGTGCCCTGGTATGATGTGTTGAGATGACGCTTTAATCTGTGGGTTTCCTCTCACAAACCATACCCTCTGTGAAATCATGAGGAAGACAGGAGACAGATTCCAACCTGGAATAGTCTACCAAAGATTCAATTAGTACTTCTCAAAAGTGTCAGTTATCAAAAACAGGGAAGTCCCAGAGCCTAAGGAGGCATGATAATGAAATGTATTCAGAGAAAGAACACTACATAAAACTAAGGAAATCTTTAGCTCCTTAGTTGTAACTGATGTACACTGTTAATAGGTATGTGAGATATATGGGAACGCGGTCCTATCATTGCAATTTTTTGTTAATCTAAAATTGTTCCAAAATGAAAAGTTTATTTTAAAACAACAACAGGATCTGGTGTTGGGGCTTAGCAGGTTAAGCTGCTGCCTATGTTGCCGGCATCCCATATGGGCGCCAGTTCCAGTCCTGGCTGCTGTACTTCCTATGCAGCTCCCTGCTAATGTGCCTGGGAAAGCAGTGGAAGATGGCCCAACTATTTAGGCCTCTGCTACCCATGTGGGAGCCCTGGAAGAAGCTCCTGGCTCCCAGCTTTGGTCTGGTCCAACCCTGGCCATTTCATATTCTCTCTCTCTCTCTCTCTCTCTCTCTCCCTCTCCCTCTCTCTCCCCCTCTCTCTCCCCCCCTCTCCCCCTCTCCCCTCTCCTTCTCTCTCTCTGTCTCTCTCTCTCTCTCCCTCTTTTTCTGTAACTATGACTTTCAAATAAACAAAATTTAAAAAAAGCAACACAAAATTGAATCCACCCCTTCCTGACAGTTGACAGTTGAACT